CTTTAATACCCTGAGAGAGGATCTTCTGAGGCACCACAATAGTTTGCACTCAGGGCTTCCTCTGTAGTTCCTTAGAGATTCAGAAGCCACAACAGAATGTATAGGAGGTTATTTTCTTAAAATCAACTTTTGAAAACCTACAGAGAGCAATATGTCTTGAATTCTTTTACTTTTTCAACATTTATTTGGTTAACATTTTACAGCACAGAAAACCTTGCCCTGATCTCTGAGCCTCCTTAAAATCAACCCTTTTACACTAAAGGGAGAGCAAGTTCAGTTCACTGGGCTCTTAACCTTATTACCTTTCCTGCAGATCCCTTCAAATTAAACCAGAAGCACTCTGATTTTCACATGAATGCTTCCATAAACCCCTGCATCCTCAACCTGCCCTCTCTGTTCTGATGGTATAACTTGCTCTCCTTACCTTTCTGACAGGAATTCAATAAGACTTACCAAGTACTCATTACAAAATCAGAGCAGAACTGGAAGCACTAAGAGTGGCGAAATAACACTAACTAAAATCCTGTCTGGGAGGGTTCTGGAAAGAAAGTTACTGGTTTGGGTTGCAGTGGCTGAGAGATGCCTGATGGCTGAAGTTAGTCTTGGCCTAAATTTTGAAAGACTTTTGCAGCTAGAAGGGTGCTTTCATTTCTTCGTCATTTTACAGATGAGACAAGTAAGGCCAGAGATTAAGTCACTCGCCCAAAGTAATGCATCTAGCTACTGAAAAAACAGAAAGTCATCAGGATTAAAAACCCAAATCCCCAAAAGAGCATCCAATGCTTTCTCTGTAAAGCACACCACGTTTGAGTAAGTACAAAGCCTCAGAAGGGCCTTCCAGTCAGGGGGAGGAGCGCAAAGTGATAATAAACATCTTTTCTAGGCCTGGCAGCCAAGAAGGCAGTGCGGGACTGGAGCAGAGCAACATGGATCAGGAGGGTGGAGCCACACCTCGTTCAGCAGCACAATTTTATCCTGAGGAACCTCCAAGCAGTGCTAGGATGAAATTAATGGCCTATGATTTTTCAAGAAAGATAACTTTTAAAACTTTAGTGATTCATCACGTATCAATGTTACCTATAAATTTCAAAAAACATGCTACTGAGTGAATTATTTGATGCTATTATCTTGCTAAGTGTGCTGTTAGAGGATCAGACATAGTTTACAGAGTTTAATATGACATAATTTAATGAATTCAAAATCTAAACTTTGTGGTTTGGAATTTTCCTCTGTCCACTAAATAGTGAGCAAATTTCCACATGAATTCAGATAGTATCCCTTAGATTGTAAGGCCATAAAATCAAAGATAGAATTGTAAGAGGTTTAAATTGTTCTGTCCATAAGCTTGGATCCCAACCCCCCAAACGTATAGCATTATGGATGCCCTCTAAAGTATGAGAGCCCCCGGTGATGTGTAATGAAATTCTTAATGCTACCGGGGAACAAGGAGCAATTTTTCTTTTATGAACAATGAACATGGGATACAGGGCCCTAAGTGAGCAGCACTAAGTGCACCACCTGCTGTCAATCAATATTTTGACCATTAATGTCATTTAAGCTATTAGTCCAATTTAAATGAATATCGTCATTGCTTTAGCTATTAAACCAGTTATAGATTCCAATCCTTGAATTTTGAAATAATGAGAGCCATAGAATGTCATGAGACACAATTATCCATTACTGTTCCTCCTGAAGTAAAAATACAGTTATAATGATGTCACTGATTTTCAAAAGCATCTTAGGACCCTTCATGTCAAAAAAAGAAGACATTTTTCAATAATAGATTATTTGTAATTGGAGTATCAGACTTATCTCCAATGAACAGAGAATCAAACCAAACACTACACATGATTTTTCTTGGCCTGTACAACCCTTCATATGACATCTTAAAGTTAACAACTTGGAAATTGTTTCTAACAATAACTGTAAGAGAGCAGATAAATGTTCTGTTTGATAACATTTCTCTCACTTTTCTTTAACTGCTCATTTCCTAAGCCCCTGATCCTTAGAATTTTTAAGTTGGATTCCTGATATGCTGATAAAATGCATTAACATCTATTGTGTCTTCTAAAGGAAATTAGATACATTTCAGCATAATATCAGCAGAAAGGCAGGATGTCTTAGTAGAGATGGAGGTTGAATTCCAACTCAGCAGCTGATTACATGACCTTCACCTCAAAAAGTTTTCCTTTCCTTGCCTGTGAAATTAAGATGTTGGAATTATCATCTCTAAGACTCCTTCCCAATTCATGAATTTCAAATTCATTTTTAAGCACTGGGCACTTCATTCACTTGGCATTTCCTTTCCCCTTCTCATTTAAATGTGTTTATTAGCATGTCCAGTCTTGTTCCTCTGTTGTAGTCTCAGACTATTTTATCACTGACAGAAAGTCCCTAATAAACATTTCAGATATAACATTTAGATCATCCCTGAAGAAGAAATATGATATGTCATTAATGCCATCCATATGGACTATTTTCAGAGACTATTGGTAAGAGTTCTTGTATGATAAACAGGAACCAACTTATTAGACATGTGTATAAATGTATAAAAGCACCTGGACCTTGCTATGAATGGCTGTTCAATTTTGGGGAAGTTACTTCACTGTTCTGAGATTTAGTTTCCTCCTCTGTAAAACGAGGGAGCTGGAGAAGATAACCTTTAAGATCCCCTTAAATTTCAACAATTATAATTCTATACCAACAAAAAAATTAAACAACACTAAAAGTATTTTCATTGATTTATATAGTTTAAGATAACTCAGGGATACTCAGAATTCTAGTAAAGGAATAGTTATGCATTTATATGCACATTTTCATAATATTTTGAAGCTTATTTATTTATTTTAGAGAGAGAGAGAGAGCACAAGTGAGGGGAGAGGCAAAGGGAGAGGGATAGAGAGAGAAGCAGACTCCGCGCTCAGTGTGGAGCCCAACACAGGGCGATCTCATGATCCTGAGATCATGACCTGAGCTGAAATCAAGGGTCAGCCGCTTAACAAACAACCACCCAAGCGCCCCTGTTTTCATAATTTTTATAATCATTTTACTTTGCATTGTTTCAGAATTTGTTTTCAATAACTTACAAATAAAATGTTCGTGAAAGAACAGAAATCAGACAACTTAATCCCACTCTTATAAACCATAAACCTTAAGAATAGCAATTTAAAGAAATGCTATCTGAACTATTGTGCAATACACTAATATTATATGACTTCAACCGCAACTTAAAAGTATTTCATGAAGTTTTGAGAATTAAAGGTAATCTGGAATTTTTTTCAGGTTCAAAAATAAAAGTTGCATTTATGTACTGTGAGTACAAAGTATGGTTGAATTTTAATAAATCGCCAAAATTTAATCAAAAGTTTTACAAAACAGTATCTCCACGATAGATAAACTGAAATTGGCAAAATGAGTCATAGTTTAATCAAACTCAGTGCTGTGAAGAAATCTTTTCTTATTAGAAGAAGGTTTATAATTTTAAAATCTGTATTGTTTTGCAAAACCATATATAGCCCTTTAATTTAATGCCAAGAATTACACTGTTTCTGGCTTCTCAGATTACATCCCATATCCTCATTGATTATTTATTAGCCAAGTCGAGAGAAGGAAAGATCGTGGTTCACTGTTGATGGAGAAGGGCAAATGACTGCTGCCCAGGGCTTTACATCCGACAGAATCACTTCCTTTCTCTTCAACTTTCTCTTCAACATGATTATGTTTTCCCCTCAACAGAGAGTTTTGTGCTTTAAGACCCTCAATACAAAGGAATTTCACTCTGTGCTCTGAAGGGATCAGCACATCAGTCTCCTGAAAGAAATTGTACTGCTTAGCTTAAAACTTTTAGTTCCTAGTTTAAGTATCTCACAGTGGAATTCGGTTAAGGCATAGAATTTCTCATGGTCTCAAATCATGACTGTACATTGTTATCATCAGGACATCACATGGTTAGCATATAAAATGTTCATTGATTCTGTTCCCTGAACCTCAGGGATGTAAATGGCTTCAAGACTTCCAAAATGAAAAAAAAAAAAAAAAAAAAGACTTCCAAAATGAGGGAAACAGAATATAAAAGTACATTTCTTTGCAATAAATTATAGCAATGCCCCACCTGTTTTCACTGTATTCAAAATTCCTGTCCATTACCAGGCTGAGATCAGAACGGTAATGTGAAAGTGAGTAAGTTTTAAAACTGCTAGTGTCTTGCATTTTACTTTCAAAGATGAGAGTACAATATGGATAATCTCTGTCACATTTTATCAACTTTCTGAAAGGCATGACATGGTAAATTGCACAGAAAGAGTAATATTTGGGGAGTTTAAAATGTTAAATGCTTTTCCACATCTTGCCTCCTCTCCCCCCAAAAATGGTACATAACAAATAACATTAAAATGACAAGAATTATAAATTAGGAAGTCTGAAATCAGCCTAAGACATGAAAAGTATTGCATAAAGATACTCTCTTATAAGAAAATAAAATATTGCCTATATAATTAAAATTGGATACAATTATTCCAGTAGGAGGGGTGGGATATGTTTCTGAACATTTCCTTCTTGAAACTAGTTGACAAAGGAGGATTTACTCCATACATTTTTAAATGATGTTATTTCTAGAACTTTATAATGCTTATCAGTTCCTCCTATGAAAGATGGGCTGCTCTTTGTGACTGTGGAGCCATGACTTCCCAATATCTATCATTACAAAAACAGTTTGCTCGGTTTGACTCCCCACATGACAATGGACCCGCATCTGTCAACAGAATCACATTATGGATGCCATGTGAGAACATGACTGTGACATTTACTCTTGTGACAGGGCAAATTTCGGCAGCTCATCTGGAAAGAGATGAGCATTCATTATGCTGCGGCACCTTTCATCAAGCTAATGACATTTCAATCAGCACATTTTCTCCAGTTTCAGTACTTTGCCATCTGAGCACAAGTCTCTAATTACGCCCAAGCAACAAGTTTCACATCAATCCTACAATTTCTGCACTCACCATACACCATTGCTCCTCCGGTTTCATGCAAGAAGCGAAATCGATGATTTTTAAATAACCAGATTGTCAAAATGGTAAGGATGAGCAAAAAATTAAAGACAAGCAGCTCCACCGCTCCCTGATGTTGAAACTGATACTCATCCTTCTCTGACATAAACCTTTGCTGTCTCTCCATTCTCCAGTCTTCTTGGGATTCCTTAGATAAAAACCTGGATAAGAGCTATTTTATCAGGATTTGCCTAAGACAGTCTGGCTGCCTGAAGATTTCAGAATAAACACTGCCACTTAAGTTGCTACTTCATGAGCGTTCTGCCTTGGCTTAGTATTCAGATGGCTTCTAGTTACAACTTCCTGTTTCTCTCTTAAAGCAGCCCTGTCTCTTTTCAAACTCCAGAGTGTAGTTTCATCATGGACTTTTACTATCTTTAAACGATTCATTCCACGAAATTATCTTTCATGTTGGACAGACCTACAAGCAATCATTCTGAGATCTTGAATCATGATTCTTACTGTCTCAAATAAGCTCCTGAACCTGCATGAATGGTAAATTGTAGATTAAGAATAAAACAGATCACCTTTCATCAGTAACATTTTCTAAGTTCAAAAAGCTAATTCCCGAATCATAACCTCACTCATATGTCAGATTTCTCCTCTCCAATCAAAGTCTACCAGTGTAATAAGGAATGATTGATACCTCTGATTTGACCTAAAATGATGTCACAGGAATTTTCTTTTAAGTTGAGAAGCAAGAAAGAATTTAATATATGATTCTCTCTCTCTTTCTCTGGCTTTATATAACTGGTAGTTTAAACTACCAGTTATATAAAGCAGCGTTTAAACTCTGAATCAGTTGTTTCCCTTTTAACAAGAATAAATGAAAGCAAAAGACAAAAAGAAAATCCTGTTCCCATTTCTACAGCCGTGCTGTTTGGATATGTTGAGTCAAAAAAGAAAAGACACTGAACACATATCTCTGAAGGAAGAAACTATACGGCCATCCTCAGTAATATCTCATACATGGATTTTTCTTTATAGGGTTTCTGGCCCAGACTTTCAGGATGCACAGAAATCTGCCACAGATCACAGACCTCTGTCCTGTGGCAAAACAATGTGGTTAGTCACTGAGGAATAGTCTGCCATCAGCTACAAAAGCTCCAGAAATCACAAGGCTCAGACCATAACAGTGATGATTCTTCAGATCACCTTCCATTTGGCAGGCTGGTTCTGTTTGAATTTATATTTTTATGCCGTTTGAAAACATTCAAGACAATACTACTACCGGGGGCTCTGCTGCTTTTTGAGCAACTGCTATGATTTGTTTGCCTTATTGGTTCTACAGTGCAATTAGATACATTCAAGGGTTCAGTGAGTTTTTTCTTCATTTCATGGTATTATTGAAACTCAGAGGAGTATAAATCACTTAGTATCCCCATACATGACAGAACTGGTATTCAATTTATACAGTGTAAATGATTCCTTGAGAAGGAGTCCAAATATATCCTCCAAAGTTCTTGTCACCAAAAGCTAAAGGTCAAACACGTATTATATTGGGAACTAACTAGCTCCTCAGTAACAGTTTCACCCACAGGAAAGCCTATCAACCACTTACTGTAAAACTGCTGTTTCAGCTTCTTTGCCTTCTGCAACTTTTGAAGCTGATTTCCTCTCTGTGTTTAATTCAGCAGGGGGTATTTATGTGGGCTGCAGATGTTCTTTTAACATACTACCTTTTTTGGCAGGCATATCTGGGATGACTAATATTCAAACTGTTTTGAAATCTGTCAGGTAATGCTTGCAAGAATTTCATGAAGCTTTGTTAGCAGGTTCTACCTTTATAATTTTGCAACTCCACAGGTTTAGTCTTGAGTTGCTAGATTTACAAGATAACCCAAATTCAAAGCCTGACAATTCCATATCATTTTTTTTCTGTTTCGATAATCATTTAATTGCTTTGGTTTCCTTTTAATAATGGTGATTATTCCATCTGGGTAGAATAAACTTTCTTTGGTTGTCTTATTATGACATCCAATTGCACTCTCTTCCCCAGTAAAACAATTGAATGAGAGGATTAAAGGTCCTTGGAATATTTTGATTGGCTAATACATTGTTTTCAAAAGTCCTAAATTGGATGTCAACATATTCAAATAAGTATATTTCACATTAAAAATTATACACATGGCTTCTCTAGAAAAAAAACTGGTAGGACCTGGCACACTTTGGGCTCTCCTTCCCATGTAGCCACAATCTGTTAGTGCCTGTTTGCCACAAGTCCCATTCATCCCATTTCACTCATTCATGCTTCCTGCATAGCCCCTGCAGTCATTTGAATATGTGGCCCCTGGTTTACTCTAGGATTGGAATACATTCACTGTTCAATTGTCCAATCCTGATGCTGCTTATCATAATGATGGAAAGCTGAGAAGAAAAGGGGACTCAGAAAACTTCTCCAATTCTTTAAATCAGAGAAGTACTTCAATTTTTCCTATTTTGTGGGTTTTTTTCCTCAGAATATCATTTTATTTTCTGCTGCACCAATAAAAGTTAAGAAAAAATGAAATAAGAACACATATTAATGTGGCATCTACTATGGACCAGGAAATATTCTAGGGAATTTAATTTAGTATAATTTCATAAAAACCCTTCTACAACTGAGAAATTTAAGGCTCAGATAGAGTTGGTAACATATCCAAGGTTGCACAACTAGTAGAAGAAGCTAAATTTAAGTCTGGGGTTTAATGGCCTTAAGGTGGCATCTCAGCTAGGGTGATTAATCCATGTTGGCTTGTCAGGGACTTTCCTGGTTTTAGCAATGAAAGTCCTGTATCCCAAGAAACTCCTTACTCACAGGCAAACCAGTCATCCTAACAGTCAGGGTCCCAAATGTGAAAATCCTGTACTGTCAATAATAACTGTTCTTTCTGACATTCCTGAGGGAGGATTCACACAAACAAGAGTATCAATTTAAAATTAAGGCACTGTCTTGTTAGCTGGTGACAATAACCCGCAGTGCCTGGTTCTCTGATGAAGTTGGACTGGAACCCAAAACTTAGGCATAAGGCCCAAAGAAACATTCTTGATTGTTCCTTAATCCCAATCTTAACACCTGCTGGCCAGTGAGTCAAAAGTTCTTGCTGCAAGATGCAACATGCTGGTAAGAGGAAGTAAAGAGAAAAACAAGATGGCCCAGCCCATTGCAGTGAGTATGCCCTGCCTTAGCTTGCCCGTCCAACACCACGGAAGGAAAGACTTGAAGAGAAGAGCCTCCCAGTCCAGGTAACCCTGTAGAGCATAGTCATCCCACCTACTAGTCAATGTGACCAGTTAGAACCCATAGACTGCATTTCAGAATCTAAGCAATCATTTGAGAGTTCCTTATTGTTAGAAACACTGGAGACTGTGGGCTCAGAGGATCAAGAAGGATCAAGAAGGATCAAGGTTGAGGAGAGATGCTGAGGGTTCCTCTTTCTCGCTTACTGGAATCCCACCCGGCCAAGTTCTCTCTCAACCATTGGGCTTAATAGGAAATACTTGAGTCAACCCATTGTCTCATTCACTTGGCCTCTCTCCCAATATTAATCCCTCTCTGAAACCAGTGAGATGGGGTTTGTATATTTTACCCCCAAAACTTCTGAAATGGGCCAGGGCAGGACTGTAATTAAGTTTACTTAAAGGCCATACAATATCATGAACCAAAAAATCACCCCCTATTCTATTCTCAAACTCATCATAAATCCATCTGTTAAAATAATTAAATAAGGAGACCATTAGGCCAGGGTGGCTCTAATGCATTGGTAGCCTATGCAAGCAAACCAAATCTAAGCCAGAGTCAATGCACTAAATCCAAGGAAGTAAAAGTTAAGAACAATCAATTACAAACAGCCACCTAGACTTTCCCAAATAAGGCAATCACTTAAGTTATAGTCAATCAAACAATTTCCTGGGTTCACTTCCACATCTTCTTTATAAAAACTTCTTAGTTCCTATTGGTAGGGTACTCCAACTAAGCACTTTCAGTTTAGTGCTGCCCCAGTTTGAATGGATGTATACTCAAAGAAACTTTTGAAAATTTTAATGTGCCTCAGCTTATCTTTTAACACATCTAAGCTTCTCCTACCCCCCAAAAAGTCACATTATCACAAAAAATGCCCCTAATTTGAATAATATTTACCTTTCCCATTACTAGATTCCACAGAGAAATGCAAGTTCAAAAATTACACAGGTAAGTTAAATTCCATAAAAAACACTTAGACAATATTAACTCCTCTAAAAATGCACTATCCCAATACCTGGTTTTTCTTTTTCCACCTCTGCAGAGTGCTGGGTCTCTGGAATGCAGGGCCATAAACCAAGGACATAACCCTTAAGTCCATGTTCTTTCCACTGCTCTTCATTAGGGTGGGAAGGTGAAGGTCTCTGGAATGCAGGGCCATAAACCAAGGACATAACCCTTAAGACCATGTTCTTTCCACTGCTCTTCATTATGGTGGGAAGTGAAATTCATTGCAAACCAGTGAAATGAGAGAATTTGTATAATTTTATTTAAACAACTCATGTACAGAAACCTGTGTGGCATGAATGAGGATCTCTTCCTTCCGCCCTACAGGGTGTGTTCCTTCAGCGCTCTGAAGTGGGAAAACTGGGATACAGACCTCACTGTTTTACCAGGTGAGCACTTATTTCTGGACTGTTGATCCTTGATGCCCAGGAGTACATAAGAAGGTCCCCCATCCAGGGATAAGCAGAGAGAAGGGAATCCCCTTCCACTTGCATTGTTTGCCATTTGCTGGCCTTGCCCCTGCAAATACATACCAGATTCCACTTTTTATTTAGGCATTTATTCACTGAAGAGTTCCAAAGCTGTACGGAGTGGGAGGAAAGTAAATCTGGCGTTGTGTCTGTAATCTTGCTGGTCAGCCCTGGGCCATCAAAGTGCAATGGCTTCATAGCTAAAGCCTCAGGAGTAAGGAGGGTCCCAGATGGATAGCCCTCGATTCCTAATTCAGTCTCTTCTTTCCCTTTTGTCCCCAGCTTTCTCTTGGCAGCACATTACCCCTTTTTATTTATAGAGAACACCTCTTCAAGAAATAATAAATGTTACATGTCAATTATATCTTAATTTTAAAAGGTTAAAAAAAAAAGAAATAACAAGCTTCAGTCCATTGGTCCCCTCTTCTG